GCACACACACACGGACACAGACACGCACACACACACGGACACAGACACAGATACAAGCACTCACGGGGGCTAATTAGATTTTATAATATGGAAACTCCGCAGGCTGGTAGTTTCATTGCGACGTCCGATTTCGGTGCTCATTTTTGTACAAGCAGACGGGCGCGAGAGTGAGTTATCTCGGTAACAGAAGCAGGTTAGGTTGAATGTGGGGAGTTTGAGCTTAGGACGAGTTTAGAAGTTCTCTGTGATTCCGTGAGGATTCCATAAGCATTTATGTTTCGAACTCGCCTTCGCGGTGGAGTTTCGTTCAACGCCCTTAACGTGGCAGCTAGACTTTGCGTTGTGGAGAGTTGTTAACGACTGGATATCATCATCATCATTGCCATTTCACGCATCCGTATCATCTTTTACGCCGTAGAGTTTGGGCCAGACAATGTATACGCCGTGACCCGGATTCCGCTCAAAAAGCGTTGATATTTCGGTGAATCGCTCGCGTATAGATGTCGCCACCCAAAGCATGAAAAAATAACCATAGAAAAATTTTTTGTACTTAACGTTTAAAAAAAAAACACACACGCATATATATGTTAACGCGGAACCCGTATGTATTTGCATCGCTGACAGAGGGCGCTTCTGCCGACAAGACTGCCCTCTGACGGCTATCTGCGGATAGCCTGCAGTCAGTGGGTAGACTTAAGCGGTTATGTATGAGAGAAGTCGAATCTCTGAAGATCGTGTCATGCACAATGCATATGCAGTGGCGGAGATACCGTCCTGGCGTCGTACACGAGCGTATATGATAGAGACAAGTGTTTGTGATCGCATGTTTGTAAAACGGTGTCTAACCTATTATATATTGTCGCCGCGGTGAGTTTATTCTGTAAACTCGCTATCGCGGGCTCTCTAGCTCTCTCGTGATCTCACTTGTTAACATCGTGCATTCATGCACGCGTATTCTCCTTCCCATCGCGTGGGGGAGAAATACGTCGCATATGTAAGTTTAACGATGTCACGCCATTGCCGCCTGGCGGCGCTGGTGTGACTGGGTGAAAGTGAGAGTGTTCAGAGCATCGCACGCGCATGCGCATATGCCACACAGACATCAGTACGAGAGGCAAGCTCATGCACCGCTCATGTAATAGTGACATCGGGTGCGAGCGAGTGCGCATGCGCCGGGTATCGTGCGTGTATATACGGTGTAAAACAGTAGCGCAATAGGCGGAAAGATAAAATACGAGATTCCGAGCAATTAATCCAGACTCACAAAAATGGAAAGTAATTGTAAAATAGTAGTGTAATTATACTAAGCTATATTTTACACATACATGAACATTCGTAATAGCTAATTTTTACCTAACTTTTATGTATGTGTAAATATAGAGAAAAATTTATTTTGTATAATATATCACATGCACTTGTGATCATGTGTGTATATAATTATTTTTATTTCTTCAGAAATAAAACGTCTTTATTTCTGTATGTAATTTGAAATGTTCGTTTTGGTATTTGTGTTTCTATTGCTTTCACATGCAAACCTACAATTGATAAGCCATTTCTCCTTCAATTTAAGTTAGCATAGTTAAACCACGAGAGCTTTTGATTTCGGTTAAAAGCTTTCGGCTAAAGTTTGAATACATAAAAACACATGTACTCTTCGCACGAACATCTAAATGCCTGATTTACAGACTAGAAGAAATAATAATTTCCAGCGATCCTGCATGGAATCATCTGAGCATAACCTGACCCAGAACGCCATCTGGCGTTATGCGCATTGCGTTTTTACATGTCCGCTGCCGGTTTTAACCTCGGCTATATATATATATATATATATATATATATATATATATAGTAGAGAGAGAGAGAGAGAGAGAGAGAGAGAGAGAGAGAGAGAGAGAGAGAGAGAGAGAAAGAGTAGAGAGAGAAGAAGTAATATATAGA